GGGGGGGCATGGCAGGTGCCTGTGGGACTTGCACCGCAGCTCCACTGCCTGGGATCAGACTCGCACGCTGGATTAGCACAGAGCCACCAGCGAATCCGGTGAATGAATGCAGACACAGGGGTTTGCTGCACTTCACATCGGCAATGCCTCAGTGCCTCTTGAAGCGCCTGAGCTGTTTAGTGGTCGCTCACCTCTGCGGCGGCGATGGTTACACCGTGCTGCACGAGGCAGGGAGACAAGTGCTAGCGGTTCGCAACCCGGCTACAGCGCAAGGGCGGGTGATGTGGGAGTGCGTTGCAAACCAAGAAGAAGTTAAGCTCTTGCCTTTTCGAACCAGACCTGGCCTATAAACCTGCGCCAGATATTCCCCACATGGTCATTTCCTGTATCACTGCAGCAACGATGCTCCCCCCCAAATGAAAATGAAAACCAGCAGTAACTCCTATCTGCAGTGATAGTCACCTTTTTGTGTGTGTCAGAGTTGAATATTTTTTCCTCCAGTGTTTTGCTACTTGTTCTCCTCCCTTGCTTCAACTGGTAGAAGATGGAGTTTTCTTTGTTATGGTATCCAGTGAGGATTTAATTCTGACCAACTGTACGATTTAGTTGTGGGTTTGGGACTGGATTGCTAGCGTAGAGCTTCTAATCCTTTCCACGCTTTATAAACAAAATTACCTTGTTCAGCTTGCTTATCCGTGCTTCGTTAAATGCTAATGGATTATCTTTACTATTTTTTGCATAAATCTCTCCAGACCAGTTGCTGGTTGTGCTCTCAGTTGAAATGCAGGAGAGGCACAATGGAGCAGCTTGCCATTAAGGTTGGGAGTCTGGGTGGGCACTGCATAGCAGTAAGGAATCTGTCTACTCATTTTCAGTGCCGTGAGTCTTGTAGCTCATAGACCTCAACAGCACGAGTCAAACTCTTTTTGATTACACACGTATTTCAGATTGGGCCCGTTTTGCATTTTAATATGCCTGTAGCCATTTCTGTTATAATTGCCTTTTCCGTTAAAGTGCCTGGTGAGAAATGCGCAGTGCAAATAAAATGAATGAATGCAAGCGCTCACATGAGCTCACTGTGCAGCAGAAGCCGGGGCTAAGATCCAAGTGGTGGGTCTGCAGACTATGCGAGGTAGCTTGGAAAGAGAAGATTGAAAAGCGTATGCTAAGTGCACCACTTGTAGGGAGATTTCTGCTGAGTCCAGTGCTCAGTGCTAAATGAACCTCTATATTGTTAGTCTGGAGTCTGGGAATTTTACAGTCGAGTGTATTCACTCATTTTGTGATTGCGGTATAGATGTAGCTTCCTTGGCTATTGTACTTCCAGTCCAGAAACCCCTTTTTGTAGCTTGTGAGCTGGTTCCTTTCATTCATTTAAATTTCTAAGATGCTTTATGTTGCTCCTAGTTGGCTGAAGCCCGACATGGGGAAAAAGGCCAAGCATAAGACGCAGATTAAAAAGAAAACCTTGAATCCTGAATTTAACGAGGTAAGGACAGACATACGTGCGTTTTTTTAATGGGCCATGCTATTATATCTCGCTGTGTATGAGGATCTGAAGGGGAACTCGACAAGCTGCAGTTGCTCTTTCATGCTCTTTGCTTTCTTCAAACTGTTCGGGGATCTTTTGGAAATGAATGAGGACAAAGTTAATTAAAGCCTGAGAGTCAGGATCTGGGCTAGTTCAGCTTCTAATTTCCAGCTTCATCTTCTTGATAAGGAAGACATATGCATGCTCAGTTGATCACAAGAATTTAGTATCCTCTTCTCCTCTGTGAAAATGGAAGAGTGATTTCAATAACTCAGGACCAGACACTGTAGATATGTGGCGGGATCTGGGTATGTGGTGGGATAATATTGGCGAGGAACAGACCGAGAAGCTGCTGCCACCCTTAATTGCTTCTCACTGTAGCCTCCTACTACTGGATGGAGTCATGTTCAAAGCGTCATGGGCACACTACAGGTAGTCTGGATAATGATGATGATGAAGCTGATGATGTAGTAAAAGGTCCAATGAGAACAATGAACTCAGACCCAAGATGTTTGCCCTCCCATGGGACTTGGTCCAGCTAAGGGCACTGCATCCTTGTCTCCTGTTGGCTTTGATGAGAGCTGGGGGTACCCAGCTCCTTTCCAGTCTGGGTCTCATGCAGCTTTTGTCCAGTCTGCGTGATTGCTTTTGAAAGGCAGCACTATCTGCTTGGCCGTTGTGGAGCTGTGGGCGACCACGCAGTGATCGGAGCGGGGAGAGCTGGGCGCCAGGCCTCTGGGGTTGACCCCCTGGCTCTGCTGAGTCTGTGCCAGTCAGTGTGTCTGCATCACTCCTGGCCCAGTTCTCAACTTCCCATTGACTTCAGTGCTAGTGCTGCCATGCTCAGCACCATGATACGGCATGCTTTTGGCCCTTCTTGGGTCAGTGCCTCTGTAAACAGCATAAATAGCCCCATGAGAGGTGAGGAGTGAGCAGAGTCCTGGTCCTCCACACCCTCTAGACTGTACTCGAGGGACAGTCATAAAGGTTGCACCGTTCCCAGAGAGGGGAGATTGCCACCCACACTCTGGCTGCTTGTGTTTCTGTCTCTCCCTCACACGACAGGAGGGGCCTGGCCAGCATTTTAAGGGTAAGATGGATGCAAACATTGCTTGTGTATTTGTGAAGTGCATTTGGACCTGAGGTCTTTGCCGCTGCAGCCGTGTGGAGCGCAGTTCCTGCTGGCATGCAGTTCGGTGTCCATGATGCTGGGACATTTCTTGACATCCATTAACAGTGTGTCGTTGTGTTTCCTCTGCAAGCTGGGTTCTGGGCATGAATCTTAGCACTTTGTCCTTTTTCCAGGAGTTCTTCTATGACATAAAACACAGTGACCTGGCCAAGAAGTCGCTGGACATATCGGTCTGGGATTACGATATCGGCAAGTCTAACGATTACATTGGTGAGTGGAAGGTTTCCAGCCTCTGGGATGATTTGTGGGAAGCTCGTGCTCTCTCAGCAAACCCTTTGAGGTCACCCACGGTGTCTCCTTGTGGGGCTGGAGGGCCAAGTCTCAGGACAGACTGCAGTTGGCTTGCTCTGCTTGTAAGCTTGGCAGTGGTCAGCTTCTGGGCCTGACTCCAAACTGCAGGCACTTCTGCTTGGAAGGGCACGAGATTCGGCGTATGGGTGCATCCCTCCCTTATAGCAGCTCTCTTTAAACATTTGATGCCTTCAGTGCTTTTAAATGACTCTGCAATGCCGTGCCCTGAGCTCATCGCCGGTGCTTGCAAATGTAAGGAATTCCCTTGTTCAGCTGCATGGCAGGACCGTCTGGGCAGAGGCTGTGATGCACAACTGCACCACGCCGTCACAAGGCAGACCTGGGGACAGGAGTGAGCCATGTGGACTGTGGGATCCCACAAGGATGTCCGCCTGGTACGGCCTTGCTAGTGTCACAGTCTCCACAGAGGCAGGCATGTCACACATGGGCTGCTGGGGAGCAGTGTTAGCACAAACGTGGCAATGCAGGGGTCAGCAGGTGCCCGGGAGAGTTTGTGCCTGTGCTGCCTTGTCTGCACTGCTGTTACCCATGCTGGCACAAGGAGCCTAGCCCAGGTGTGCCCGGGGCTCACCAGCACCTGGCAACACAGACAGAGCCCATGTGGGGCCAAGATCGCCGCCTCCTGCATCACATCCTGGGGCACGCATGTCGCCCCTCCTGAGTACATGTACCCCTTGGCATCCCAGCAGGCCATGCGTGTAGGCTGAACATCTCCAGCTGCTCCCCAAGCCCCAGGGCACCCTGATGCTCCCTTCCTGCTGGCATAGGCCAACAATAATGGGGCAGGGGCTGGATCAATGTGGCGTGAGCAAGTTACACCATTTGCTGATGGTGACCCGGACTCTAAAGACCAGGTCGTGCCCTCCCTGATCAACAGACCTTCCCCTGTCTAGACCAGTGGTTTTTCAACCTTTTTTCATTTGCGGACACCTAAAAACATTTCAAAGAGAGGTGTGGACCCCTTTGAATTGTAATGTGTGGGTATTCATGTACATTTGATTGATCACAGCTCTTTCATGGACCCTTTAGACATAGTCTCTGGGCCCCCAGGGTGCCATGGACCACAGGCAGAAAATCACTGGCCTAGGTGGGTTGAGAAAGAGGGGTGGGTGGATGGAGGTCCTATCGGGGGGGTTTGGGCATCCGTGCCTGTTGGTCGGTGCTGCGTTATTTTTGCATGAAGCTTTAAATTGGGGGGATGGGAATACAGGGAAGCCCAGCATCATCTTGAAATATCCTGTCTGCTTCCTTCCTTCCAGGTGGGTGCCAGTTGGGCATCACTGCCAAGGGAGAGCGCTTGAAACACTGGTACGAGTGTTTGAAGAACAAGGATCAGAAAATCGAGCGCTGGCACACTCTACAGAACGAGAACCACATTGCAAGCGATTAGGAGTCTCTCGCCTTCCCCCCGCACAAGTCTGTCATGAATCCCCCTGCTCTCCTGCCAGCTCGCCGTAGATCCCCTGTGTCTGTCCTCCAACACATCCGCGCCTTGCGTGCGCATCTTGGGATCTCCTTGATGCCAGCGTTTGCTCCGTTCATCATCCCCCTTCCAAAAAAACACCCGGATCTTTTTTTATAGGCAAATCCAGCTTGCTTTCTTTTTTTCCGCTGACCAGCGATGCATAATTCTGTCAAGCAATAGCCCCGTGCTGAGCATTTCCATTTGTCTCTTGTTTCTCACTAGTCTCACCCGCCTCGTACAACGATTGCCTTTTCTCCTTGTTGAAAATACTTGCTTCTCGAGGTGTTGATCCACCTGGGCACGCATTGCTCCATCCTCACTTTTACCCAAGGCTTTCATTTGTATGTCTGCATGTGTCCACCTCCTTCCCCTCCTCCATATGTTCTCTGTGTTAACTGAAGTCCTTTTAGCATCTGTTCTGGTCTGGAGGGCTCGCAGTCACGGAGCCTGCTGCATTATATGGCTTTCAGCACTGAGCATGGTTGAAAGCCGGTGTCACAACACTGGACGGTCCTGTTCACCTGATATCGATACCTCAGTTGCAATAAGGAACAAGGTGGTTCTGCTTTGGTTTTGTTAGAAACATCACTAAGGAACTGCATTTTCCCCGTCAGGCCCGCAGAAGCAACCCTGAGAGTACTAGCTATTTGGCCGAATGGGTACATTTTAGCAGTGTTGTAGCACTAGCAAATTGTGTGGCACATGCTTTTGAGTTTCCACAGGAAGGATCCCGCAGTATTATGTCACTTAAAAAACCCCAAACCTGCAAATACAGATCCACAATCATCTGGGAAACAAGAGAGATCTGGCTTTACTGGACTTTTTTTTTTCAGATGCAATTAATTTTAGAGCTAGAAATGTTCCCACTCACTTCTCACCCCCTTCTTTTCGACTCGCGACTACCTCCCATCCCACTCCATGATATAGCAAATAACTACGCCGAGGGCAGAACTGATGATGCCCGTGTGGGGTAATATTTCCTGTTCCATCGTGATTTCAGATGGGCTCGTCTCACTGTGCCACGCAGAGGGGGGAAGCAGAAGGGGAACCGTTTCCCAAAGAGCTGATGAATTCAAACATTGTATCTCTTTCTTTTCAAGTATCACAATTAATGAAATTACCCTGGACAGGTAGAGGTCTTCCAGCTTCATGTTGTGTTTTTTGTCATCGTGATGGGTTTCTTTGTATTATGCGCAAAAGAAGCATTTTTTTTCTTTAACCCGTGCTTAATTTCTTGTCTGCAGCTGTTTTATTTCATATCAACAAAGGGAGAGTCAACAAGCTTTTGAATTGATATTGATGTTTTTTGTACCCTTCCGCAGCCCCTTCTGTTTTATATGACCTTCAAGTGTAGCACCGTCAATGTTAGCACAAGAAAACACTGTCAGTCCGCTACAAACTCAGCATGTCAAACAGAACTGAAAACCTCCATCCTCGCCGTCGTCCCGCGCCGCCGCCTCCGGCGCCCTCTCGCTCTAGTCTTGGCCGTGGTGGTTTTGTGTGGTGTGTCCTGAAGTTGAGCCGCACCTTGAAGTCATTAGGTTTACTTTTATTTATTTTTTTTACTTTGATGGATTTTTCTCCTCTCCTAGACTTTTTTTTTTCAGTGGGGTTTACTAGTCCTAGGAATTTGCTATGAACATCTCTCTAAAGCTTTAACTTCCACAGCTAGAGGGAAAGCCTCTATCCCGCATGGGCTGTCACCATCCTGTTTCGCCCGTGGCGTGCTCTTAGCAGACTCGAGGCTCCTTCTCCAGGACTCAATCGGCTCCCGGGCTTCCTTGTGTCGCAGGCTGCGGGTGCAAGTCCCCGGGTGTTTGGGAAGAGCATCGCTGGATGGGATAACCTCCGTCATTACTCGTCACGCCGCTGTGGGCTCTGTGCATGATGTCTTTAAGCTGCTGTTATGGTTTATGGATTGTTTCTTGTCCTCTCGTGTAGTGTGATTCTTTTCCGCTTTTAAGCACATAAGTGTGTATCGTTACTGGGAGCATTGGCTCCTGTCTTAATTTAAATGTCTCGGACAAAATCTAGATGAGTACTCTCCCTCTCTCTCTCGTGCAAGCTCTCTTGCCGTCTTTCCTCAAGGTTAAGAACAATCAATATTGTTTGCCTTGTTCTGCGAATGCCAACAAAGGCCCACTGCTCCTGTCTCTAAAATACTGCAGTCTGCTCTGGCTCTGCATTGGTCCCCAACTGGCCCTGCAATGACGCCGAGCGCTGTGGGCACCATCGCCTTTAGCAGTCCCTGTCAGCCAGAGGAGCCGTGTCTCTGCGGGAAGCTGAATTTCCCCTGCCTGTGACCAACCCCAAGCCACGGGTTGGGGTATCACTGCTCTCAGTCAAACCCCCGCAGCGCACAACAGTCTGATGGTCACGTTAGGAGGCGCCAGGTGTCCCGCGGTCTTCAAAGCTGTGGCTCCTTCTGCGATGGCCTGGACAAACCCTCCAGCTGTGTGCCCCTTCCCGTGGACTTTGTAGCCAAGCAAGCTGCTCGTTTCTCTTGCTTGCTGGCGGGTGGTGTATTAACCAGGCCTTCAATGATACAGGTGAGCATGAGGGTCAGCTTTCTGTTATTTTCCCTTTTTTTTGCATTGGCAACTGTTCCTTTTGGCCCTGCTCTTCCATGTTACTGCCTCCTTTTCCTCCTCAAAGAGATTTTCTTAGGCCACAGTTAGGATTAAATTGAATGCAACCTGGCATGAACTCCATTCATAATGATAATAATCAGAGTAACCTCCAGCAGTAGGTCACCCCTTCATTCCTCCCCACCTTCCTTCCTCTCCAGAGCGTCTTCTGTATCTGGGTCATTTATTTATTCACTCAAGACACCTAGAGGGACATTCGCAAAGGGCATGATGGGCCCTGTGCCCATGGAAAATTTAAAGGACCCTTGGTGGTGTTCTCTTCCATCCCTAATAGCTCTCCTGGAGTCTGGCACTGATCAAAATTGAATCCCAAAGGCCCAAGTTATGTCCATCACAGCTGACCTGGGCTGAGGATGGAGACTAGAACTGTTCTTTTTTCTCTGACTATTTTTGAGTCCTGGCCGGATTTTGCCTTCTCCCTACCATCATGCCATCGTTGTGAGCGGTTCGTTCAACCGCTCACTTCTGAAGTCCTCTAAGTCTTCTGAACTAGGTACGTCCTTCTCTTCCAGTCCATCCTTCCTTCCCCAGCTTCCAGATTTGATGCAGGTTTTGCCATTTTACCTGAGAGAGATGAAAAAACCAACTGCAACCAGGGCTGGTTTTCAACCTTGGAAATAATGCAGCAGTCATTTGAGAACGGAAATGGCCAGAGGTGTTCACATGACTTCCCCTGGCCCTGCCAAGCCAAGCACTCTTCACGCAGGGTGAAAATCAGGTTCACAGGTTATAGTGGCATAGCATGAGGTTTTACATGTTTTCTTCTAGCATTTACAGCATGCTTAGAAATGGCACAGTACTTCTAAGGTGAGATGGTGCGAACTTGGAATGGGGACGCTCCTTCCAAATAGGACAATAGTAAAAAATATCGGCCAAAAAAGGCAATCAAGCAATGCTTTCCCTTCTTAAAGTTACCTAGCGGCTGTGGCTGCACCTGCTTTGTATAAAGGCACAGAACAAGCAAACAAAGGTTGACTTGACCGTGGCAACTTCTCACCATCTTCTGTCTTGACAGGCTCGACTTGTCTGCTTTACTTTTGAAGGAATTCTAGTCGAGCCGTATCCTTGCTCAAAAAACAAAACCAAATCACCGTTTCCAACACCACTTTCTGAGTATTGTGCACCTCTCATCCAGCATCTCCATCCGCCCTGTAGTTTCCTCTGACTTTCTGTTGGCAATCTGTGACCTGAACTATTTTCTTTCCCTTGTAAATAAAGCATGCACTTAGAGATCGGGAATGGTGCATATGCCTCTTCTACCAGTGTTTGCAGATTAACTCGCATGCAGTGATTTTACAGGCAAAAATACCAGTTTACAACTATTAAAAGGAAAAAAAAAATGTAACACAGGAACTAGAACTACAACAGTCTTCCGCTGCATGTAATACCGCCCTCTTCTCTCGTCATGTGATAGCCAATAAAGTAAAACTATTGAAAGACAAGCACGTTTCTTGGGGGTTTTTTTTCTTATGATAACATGAGTTCACAAAAGGAGAGTGCACCTGGAGGGACAAAATAATGAAACCTGCAGCCGGCATGAATCGGTGTTGCCACCTTGACTTCACAGGAGCTGTGTTGGTTTAGATCAGGAGAACTATCTCGAAGGATGGGAACCGGTGGGCTTGTTCACTGTATACTCAGTAAAATGCCCATGTTTGTGGAACGGGCGTGGGCCAGAAAACAGTTGCATGTGTTTTCTTGCATACCACGGGCAGCTTTATTTCGAAGAATCTGCTACTAGGAATTTGAGTGCACGTGACATGAGAGAAATACGGCAAGAAATTGCTGACCCTTTCCAGGCAAAGCTGAAAGCAAAATCTGCTGCAGGCTTGTAGGGAGCAGAGCAAGGAGTATTTGGTTTCCTGGCAGGTGCTACTCAGTGGGCGCGTCTACACGTGTGCATTTACTGCGCAGTACGGACACGTGTCTACGTGTGCACATCTGTACGGTCCAGTAAACATGGCAACTTACACCGACTTGAGTGTAAATTTGATACCTGTATCAGGCAGGTATTAAATTTACGCCTGATCAGTTACTGCGCAGTAACACGTGTAGATGTCTTACTGCACAGTAACACTGTGCGTGTGGACTGACTTGGGACTAACTTTAGTCCCAAATCACTCCACACACAGCGTTAATGTGCTTTAATAATGCCGGCACATGTAGACAGCAGCCTAGTCCTGCTTACTGCGTGGTAACTTACTGTGCAGTAAATTTAAGCCGGCGTAAATGCACGTGTAGATGCACCCAGTTACTACAAGGAAAGATCTTTTCTCCTTTATTCAGTTCTCCTTCATTCATTTCCATTGGGGAAAATCAGGAGTAATGGCCACAAACTCCTGGACAATTGTTTCAGGCTTAACACTAGGAAAAATGTCTTCATAGTCAAGGTGTCCAAACTGTGGAATAAGCTCCCTAGGGCCAGAGGTGGTGCAATCACCGACCCTGGAAATCTTCAAGAGGGGACTGGACAGTCACCTTGCCAGGGTCACCTGACAGCAGTGAAGGGGAAATGCTGCGCGGGGTATTTTTGCTTCCTTTGGGAGAGGCAGCGAAGGAGGGGTTTGATCCACAGTCGTCCTCTGTGCCAGGCAGGTGACTAAGGGCTGCTGTGGAGTGGGCCTCTCTTGCCTGGCCAGGATTCAAGATACAGGGAAGGGGACCGCAGGCCTCTTCTCTCCCCAGGGCACTGTCACTGCTGTGGGACGAGTGCTTGGGCACGACAAAGATGTTGGTCCAAGAGCCTTTTGTTTCTCCTTGGCGCCCCTGCTCCTCAACCTCCTGGAGCAGAGGTGGCTGCAGGGCCATGCCCCAGCCCACCAGGTACCACAGTTGCTGGTACAGATGGTAGGACAGCGCGATGCCCCCGTATGCCGTGTTGCATGGTGCCTTTCCCAAAGAAGCAGCTGTGAAGAAGTGATTGGAGCCGGGTGTTTACCCAGTGCAGGCTGATCACGAAGCTGCAGGCTCTCCCAGGCTGGGGGTACCTAGGGTAGCCCAACGCATAGGAGCCCAGGTTCTGGCCCCGGTTCCCTCCTCAACCAGGCGACTGCACACATCTTACCCCCTCAGCACCTTCAAGCATGCCCACCTCTGATTTGCTTTGCTGCTTGGCCAATTTTGGAGCCTATTGGGGAACCCAAGTCTCTGCTCTGGATAGGGGAAATGCCCCAGCACCCGGGCTAGGGCATTGCTCTAGGTGGCATGGCCCTTGGCGTACGCTAACTCCATCGTGTGAGCTTTGCAACAGGGTGGCCAGTGTTTCGACGCCAAAAGGGGAGGAAGGTGGGCGCGGGAAGGCAACTCTGCACAGAGCCACCTTGGCGCGCACCTCAAGTGAGTCATGGGACAGGGAGCGGAGGCCAGTTCGCTATGCTCAGCCTTGTCAATCCTCAGCTCGTGCCCAGGCAGAGGGCTGCTTGAGGACATGGGTGGCTCCTGTTGCTAGTTTGCTCCGGACAGACAAAAATAAAAGACACGCACAACCACCAGCGTGTTGCCGTGTTGCCAAGGCCTTTGCATTGAGATGAAAAGCTCATTTGGTTTACAGTGATTAAACAAACAGCATCATTTCTCCTCGCCTCCAGCCCACCGCCGATAGCCATCAGGTCACTGTGCACATGAATGGGCGCTGCTGGGCAAGGTTGGCATGTTGGGGGACTGCAATGAAATGGCTTGAACCCTTACTCGGCGGGTTTGCCAGACGCAAAGGTATTCATACCTCTGGTTTGCTTGGCTCCTTTCAGCCATTCATCTTTTCTGTGGCTGGTGAATAGCAAGTCACAGGTTTCAAGAGTCTGAATGAATGCTTTGAAACCAGACCATTCCCCAGCTGGCAGTGGGGAGCGTTTGAATAAAAATAAAAGGACCAAGATGCCATTCATACTCTGATTTCAGGAAGAGGAAGGAAGCCTTTATTAGGGGAACAGGTGGCAATACCTGCTGTGTCTTGCATGAAACGCTCTGCTATTGAGGTGAGGCACAAAGGCATCTTGCTGGAAGAATAATTGAGATGCAGCTTGACTGCACGTGACGATACACGAGTGCCTGGACTAGAGGCAGCGGTTCCACGCTTGGTTTAAGGGGTGCAGGAAACCAAGGCTGCCCTCAAAAAGCTGGAATGATATTTTAAAGGCCAACGTTTCACGGGTATTAAAAGGGTTCTTCACGTGGCTCCACTGCCAACAGTTGCCGTCAGTAGCCGGTCGAGCACACGCCCTTGTTCCCGGCCAACCATGTCCTGCATTATGCACCCTCTCCCCGTGCTGAACCTCTGCGGTTGGGCTGTAACACCTAGTCCTTAGCAGGAAAGAAGTGGTGAGAAGTGGCGCTGGCTGGGCATTTCAGAGGTGTTCAAAATCTTCTCCCAGGCAGGCTCCCCGGGGTCTGCACAATGTGGTGGTGGTGGGGGGGGGGCATTACCCTCACAGAGGTCGAGGTGCACTCCAGTGCAGGAGCTGTCCTCTGCTGGTAATGCGCTCCACCAAGGCTGTGGTGGCGGCACGCTGTCCTCTGGCTCTAGCCCAGGTCCACACACGGAGGTTTAGGATGTGGGGTTGTGCTACCCGCTTTTCTCAGCTCCAAGAAGCCCTGAGCAAAGACACCCAAACCATTCACGAACTAGGACTGCAGGCTTGGACGGGGCCTGCCAGTCTGCTCTGTGTTTGCAGACCAAAGAGATCATCCACGCCGGCCATACAGCCACAGTCCCTCCATATCCACCTGTGTGTGCGTGTATGCAAATAGATGCACATCTATATAGGTGTGTGTATATATATACATACACGCACGTGTATGTGTGTGTGTGTATATATATATATATATATCTCTATCTTCATATGTGTATATATGTATGTGTGTGTATATGTACACCTCCAAAATTATATATATATTGTGTGTGTGTGTGTGTGTGTGTGTGTATAATATGCATGTATGTATATGTGTGTGCAAGTATATGCACATGTATAAGTGTATATATGTGCATACATACATATATATATATACACACGTGTGTGTAGAGATATATGTATGTGTGTATATGCATATCTGTATCTTTGTGTGTGTGTGTGTGTGTATATATGTATGTGTAGGCACGTGTGTGTGTGTGTGTGTGTGTATAAGTACATGCACATGTATATGTGTATACACACACATACAGGTATATACCTGTATACACATGTGTGCATATAAATATATATGTCTGTATGCAATGCATGTAGGTGTGTGTCTGCGTGTGTGAGACACCCCACAGTAAGCCACAGACAAAGAATTGCTCGTTGTACGGGGGATCGTGGTGCTCAGCCCCGGTCCCTGCCCTCACTTAGAAAGCTCAAGGAAAGGTGGCAGCTCCTCCAGCACCAGCTCAGGTGCAGCTGCCCACGTCCCAGCCTTGCGGGAGCCGCTCTCCTTCCAGCGGGCTCCAAGTGCCATCTGCTGGGCTCAGCCGCGGCGAGCAGCTCTCGCCTGCAAAGCTGGCTGTGGGCCCCGGCGTGGCAGGCCTCATGCTGCAGGCAGAGCTCGCCGGGGCACCTGGCTCCCCAGAGCCAAGGCAGCAACGTGAAATGAAGGGCTGATTAAAACCAAGGCAGCCGTGGGAGACTTGCAGGTCTAGCAGCTGCTGTCTCTCAGCCCGAGCTGGGCAGCTAGGGCACTGGCCGCTTTTGCTCAGGGAAGTGCCCTCCTAAACCCCGCTGCTTTGAATGCTGCTGCCCTGCCCAGCGCCCAGTGCAGGACATAACGGGCTGCTTATGCAAGGCCCTTAGTCTCAGTGGGGTAGACGACTCGCTTTTGCTCTTGGGCCAGGCCAATGAACTGCAGAAGCTGGGGAACTGGAGAAAGCCCTGCCATGGTGGCAGGCTCCCCACCTCCATTGAGCAGAGCTCCAAAGGCCCTGAGCATCCTTGCAGAGCTCATAGGGAGGAAAGAGGCGTCCAGAGCGGCCTGTTAAGTAACGATTTCACTGCCACGCTGCTGCCCGGGGCAGGGCCAGGCATTGCACAAAGGACAAGAGCTTGGGTGTATGACTAGCCAGCGCTGACGCCCGTCCTTCCACCGTGGTGCAATAGGCAACGCTGGGCAGCTTCCACTTGGTACATGGAGGCACTGGGAGGTGCACTGGTCGTGTCCCACTGGGGACTGGGATGGCATAGGGGCACAGGCTGGCGTCTGCCTGTTCCTGGGGGACGGGGCAGGACTGGAGCCCATGGAGGATGCAGTCTCTGGCTTGCAGCAGGGTGGGGATACCCCCATCCGTTCACCAGGCCCCTGCTCTGGAGCGGGAGAGAGGGAAGCCCTTTGACTTCCAGAGGCTTAACTGGTGCCCCGGGCCGGCTAGCAGAGCAGCGCCTGCCCATTGCATAGGCTGAAGGGCCAGCCAGGCAAGGAGGAGGCGTCATGGGGTTTGCCTTTGCCAGTGCCCATCCCCTCCCACTTCTCCCGCTGG